TTTTTTTTCACATCGGCTGTGAGATGGGCACGCAGCGATGGTGATGCGTGGACATACTGTATTTTCTCTCTCGTGCCTGCTACTAGCATGTGCTTGTGTAAAATTACATTTTAGCCCCTTCTTTGATTTCCAACTTTGACTTCTGCACCCTGATGGTTTGAAAATTCAACAAAAAAGCTGCACCTTCCTTTAAGCCATGGAAAAGGTAGTGGCCTATGGTCCAGAAAGTATGGAATCTATTTATACTGTTGTTTGTTCATACACTGTACAGCATTGCTATATTATCAGTATTAATAAGAACGTTTGCTCATGTATCCATCAACTTCGCAGCCACATTGGTAAACCTTGGGAGCTTTAGCCTCCACTTCAGTGAAAACCAGTTCATATTATACTACCAGTTCTGTTCCAGTCTTTTCCCCCTTGGAATCAAAGTTTTGCATTTTTTTTTCTTTTGCACACTGGATCTTGCAAGTTGCTAACTGGCTGAATCGCTGTAGGCTACTTCCTTACTTACCCCCAGTATCGCAACTCCTTTTTCACTGTAAATATACACAAAGGGCTTTAATGGCTAAGACATTTAGCAAAAACAAAGCATAAAACATTCTACTTGTGTGTCTCCTGTGCTAATGGAGGCGTTTCCTCCTCTCTTTGTCCAATCTGCACCATTTATATTATTTGAAAAGCATCCTTTGCACCACCAACCATTGAGTTGCTTCTGATTGTGATGGAAAAATGTAAATCACTCACTGCATTCAAGTTGTTCATGTTCAATGTGAATGCTTTTTTGGAGCTCTACTAATAAGCATTATAGTGGCAGCATCACCATTACTGTATGCTGTGTAGCTGTTTGTCCTCCTGTTGCTCTGGCGTATTTCTTTCAATGGATTAAACAACTAGAGAGGCATGAAGACAACTCTTTTCAATATGCCTTCCATCAAGAGCTAGGTGGGCTGAAATCTGATTTTCCAACGGCACAAGGAAAGGAAATATACATCTAAATTATTTTTGGAATGGAAAAAATTGCCTAACATGAAACTTTCGAAATGACTCCAACCTTGTGGTTTTCAAAGATGTTTGGATTATGTTAAAATCCATGTTTGTGCCTCAAGAAGCGATAATTATTTGAACTCTATTAATTCTACTAGGACATTATAGAAATAATTAGCCAGAATCATTCAGATAAGTAATTATTGCCTTGGAAGGTCACGGTGCCACTTGCTAAGGGATTTTCACTAAATATCAGTAGGAGGTATATGAACACGTTTGTATAATTGTATGTATAACTTTGACCTGTGTGGGTTAGCATAACACCACAGATTCCAATGCCTGCACCCGATTCTTGTTTTTCAAATAAAAAAATATGTTTCTTTTTTATTGTTTTTAACCCCAGGTGGGGAAAACAGCAAATAAATTCCAAATAATAACACAGCGATATTGATTATCATTATGAATAGATGTAAAGGTCTAACTTGGGTCAAAAATGCGTTTTTTTTTTTTTTTGGTTTGACATGAAAAATATAAATATCAGAGTCAACAAACCAAGCCTTTTGATGAAACAGTAGAATTTAATGTTTTTTATTTCAAAAAGTGACTTAAGTTTCTACCTCTAAAGCGAAAAATTGGCATTTAAGTGTAAGATATAAATTGAAAGTAAGAGTTCCACCTTAAATGTAACGTGTCATGGGGACATGGTGCCCTTTGATAACCTCTATCAACAGATTCTCAGAGTTTATTCAATAACCAAACTCTTTACAATATCTATGTTTGGCTTACCAGAGGAATATTTCAATCTTTTTTTTGACAAACAGGTCCTTTGTTTTAAAGTTCTGTAGGATGACCTTACTTAGATGTTTCTTCCTTGCACAACATTCAGAAATGTCTTCCTTTTTTAACATCAAGGATAACTGAGAAAATACAAAAAAATGGCAAAATAATTACCATAAATCCTCTAATATTGGCCTGTATTCCATTAGCGGCCGGGTCTCTAATAATGGCTGGTCTCGATGTTGGCGGAGTTAAATAATGGCCGGACTCTTATACAGGCCGGGGCTATAATTAGAACCAACAATGTTCCTGGGCAGTCCTCAACAACTTGTGATATTAACATACACGTACCACAGGGGGGCAATGTTTGCTTACGAATCCAAGCCATTAGCATGGAAGTCCCATCCTTACACAGAGATCGTAGTGGCCTTACACTATCGTTCTGATCTGAAAGACACGTGATTACCGGTAGGTCTGGTGGTAACCAGGCAGCGTTAAGATGACAGAACCTTGTTGGCCTTCGTTGTTCTGAATTACCCTTCAAATATATGACACTGGTGGCCTACTTCCACTTAGCCTACGTCAAATAAAATTTCGCTGTGATGGCAGTTTCCATTATTTTATTTTTTTTTAAACTTTCTTTCGCAAGTCAGTTTGGCCAAGATTCCATTCTGTGTCTTTTTCTTTCTTTCGTATTACCGTGCAGAAACATTGCAGCTGCTGGAAGATCTCTGAATAATGTTCTGTATATTTATGGTAGCTGTACTTTTTCAAAAAATAAACCTAGCATTTTATAGGTTCAAAGAGACACAAAATCTATTTTTTTATTCATTCCAATGGTAGTCTGTTTTGATCAAATAGAAATAGAGGCCTGCCTCTAATTCTGGCCTCCTTCCAATAATGGCCTGGACCAAGATGTACCTGAGTGAAATAAAGGTCCCGTCCTGTATTAGAGGATTTACGGTATTTTTTTTTTAAGGTAAAATTTCTATCAAAACCAATGTGGCCCTGTTATTAAAAAGCACATGTCCAATAGATCAGATTCTTCCACCTTCTTTCCGGATTTGTTTGGATTGGAGAGCATGCTGTTTACTAGCATACCCAGTTTTGCTTTAGGGTGGCACTGTTGCCATGCAGCCAGAAGATCTTGGGTATGGCAGTTCTACATGTATAAATGTATGAGTTGTCTCTTGGTATCCTTATTTCCTTTCAGGATCTGAAATTTGCACGTTAGGTTAGTTACTCTCTTTCAGTTGCCTTTTGTAAGAGAGTGTGTTTGTAATTGTTTGCCCTGTGTCTCTAAGTGTTGGACCCAACTAATTTAACTCAAGTTCATAAATGAATGGCCAAACAACCACCTATAGGAGAACTCGTGGTTCTAAATTAATTAAAGCAAGTAGCCCAATCCTAAAATAGCACAGTAGCTCCAAGCTGTCAGACTACCACCACCATGTATGTTGTTTTTGTTTTTTTATTCCACTTTTTCCTTGTCGGTTCAGAGAAGGTTTTCCCAAAAGATCTGTCCAGATGTTTTTTAGCAAAAGTGAGATAGACCTTTGTATTGTTTTTGTCAAGCTTAGGTTTTGGACATTGAAGTCCAACAGATTTCATGTTTTTCTGGTATCGATCTTGTTTTCAATCATGAACACTGATGATAGCTGAGGTCTGGAGTGATTCAGGTGTGGTGTTTTGTGTTTTTTAAGTCAATCAATGCCCTCTTGCATTCGTTTTGGTAGGCGGGCTGTCCTATTAAGGTTTACTGTGTTCTACTTAGAAGTTGTTGCTATATTGTTTGTAAGCTTAGATCCAGGAAGTTTCTTTATGTAATCTTTTATTCTACCTCATTAAAACTACCTACTCAGTATTTACTTATATTTTCTTTGTCTGATGAAAAAAACTGTTTGATCTAAATAAATATGCTTTGTTGGGCTACTCTATAAAGCTTGGAACTCAGCCCTTATCCAGACATATTGAATTGAAAAAGCTTCCTGATGGGAAGCAAATGGTCTTCAAACTTGGAAAACAGAGTCCAGTGGTTTGTTTTTTAAATTTTGTAACATTTTTGGAAGTTTGATCTAAATGTGTGGGACAAAATAAAACTCTAAAATGGTGGAAATGCTTTTTCCAAACTCTGCAAATGTCTGTCCTATGATTTCCTCATTGTCTGTGACACTAAAACACACTGCTGGCTGTGTCGTAGTCCTTGCTGATATGGGAGGTACTGGGCAAAGACTTAAGGTACTCCATGTGTCTCCTGGCGTCCTCTTGGTTGTGTTTGATATAGTAAACAATGTAAGCCGTTACCATGAAGAACCAGCAGAACATTGCTATGAACATGGCCATGTCTGTCGTTTTGTGGTGGAAGTTACAAAAGTTGATCCCCGAGTCCAAGACTTGGATCACTGGCTGTCCCACGTACTCCTCCTGCACTGATGTTTGGCAGCTGACCTCGTTGACCGTCTCTGGATCCAACCTCAGTTCCCTTAAAACTTCCTGGAGGGAGCAATCACAGTGCCATGGGTTGTTGGACAGGCGAATCCGGGCGTGCAACTTGGTAAAGGTCTCTCTTGGGAGACTGCTGAGTCGGTTGTTTGAAAGATCCAAGGTACGCAGGCTCTCCAAAACTCCTTGGAAGGAGCCGACTTCCACGCTCTCAAGTGAGTTGTGGGATAAATCAAGCTCCCTGAGATGCTTGAGGTCTGCGAAGGCCTCCTTATGGACATGCCTGATTCGGTTTGACGACAGCAGGAGAACAACTGTGTCCTTCGGTAAGTTGGCCGGGATGATCTCCAGGTTGCGTGAGGTGCACTGCACCACCTTGCCGTTCCTTTCTGAGCAATGGCAGGCATGCGGGCAAGCCATTACCCCAACAAAAGAAAGTAGCAGTAAAGTTCCAGTAAAGAAAAAAGAACTGCCTGAACGATGTTGTATGATGGACCTTTTGGAAGCCCCCATTAGCTGTTGTGTCAAAGATCCAAAGAATCCTTTCGACTTTCACTCCGACATCCTTTCTCATCGTTTACCGAACCCTAATCCAGCTTAGAAGAGGATACAAACCCAGATGTTTGACTGCTCTCTAAATGAGAAGTAAAATAGCAGCTTGACCAATGACTTCCCCAAAAAGGAGACATGAAAATATTTTGATCATTATAGTCTTAGGATGAGCCATGATTGGAAATTCAAGGTTGGAGGGCGCATCTTCTCCACCCACTGGAAGAAACCTGAAAATGAAAGATATATAAATTGTGATTAATTTTTCTTGTCAAGAGAAATTCCAACCATATTGTCTCTCCTCAGAGGGAGAGTAGGCCAATAAAGTTCAGCATTATCATAATAATGCCATGTCTCCTGTGACATGGCCCTTGGACTCCAATTTCGTCAAGGGAAAGAAATGACATCCCATTAAATAAGGTGGGGGCTCATCAATATGCAGCTGATGAACTTTGAAAACAGTGATTTGTGTTGGAATAAAAAGCTGTGAGTAATCTGAGAGATTAACGAGGACATTTGTGAACCAATGAAGGTCAGAGAGCGAATGAAATCACCACAGAACGCGCTTCATTTGTGAACGCATGGAGTGTGTTGGATGGAAATGATGGATGGAAAACTAAACGATTTTATGACAAGAGTGACAAGAATATAAATGAAGTGGGTGTGCTCTCCTTTCAGCTGATTGAAAAACAAACACTGCTTAAAAAAAGTATTCACACCCCTTTAGCCAGTGACTGTTTTGGTGTAGACAATACTATGGGTGTATGTCATAGTTGAACAGTAGGTAAAAAAGTATAAATCTGTAAGAACACTTCACGGGTTAATTTTTGGGTGAGCTGTGGTGGTTTAGCTGGTGTGTGATCAGGACAAGCGAGGCACACTATGGCAGGGGACCAGCATTTTTACTAAAAATACCAGAGGTGAACAACAGAAGTTAGTTTATTCAGCCAAGATCATTTTTAACACTCCCACATAAGGAAAATTTAAGCCAATTAACAAAACTGTCATGTTTTTGGACTTTGAGAGAAATCCCACACATGCTCAGGGAGAACATGCAAACTCCATGCAGAAAGACCCGGGGCCAGGAATCAAACCCACGACCTTCTTGCTATAAGGCAGCAGTGCTACCCACTGAACCACTAAGCAGCCCTTTTCCTCAAACTCGTGGATTTCAAAACTTGTGGCAATTTAAAGTTATCGGTTATACTCTGATTTAAAACTTTTTAACATAAATGACCCCATGACTACTATTTTTTGAGATATTTAAACATTGTGTCTACTTATGTTTACTTTGTTTGTTTCCTTGATGTCTATATTGTTGTCTGTTCTGTCACACACAAAAAAAAGTTCCAACTGGAAGTTTTGAAGGTCTTTGCTTCCCAGACTGCTAATTAAATCTAAACATCATTTGATGTTTAGAATGGATTATTTATTCTTTTACAGTAACAGTTTCAGGGACAGAGACAGAGGGTCCAAAACGGGGACGTCTGGTAACCGTATTCAAGGTGCTGGGTTGTATTTTTAACGAACGCAGGGCTGTGAAAAGGGCTGGTTTTATGAGCGATGTAGGTATGTACAAATATGTGCAATTTAAAACAACAGGAAAAACTGCAGTAGCCACTCCTAACCACTGCAAGCGGAAAAACACAAATGAAAAGTAACACCAAAATAAAATCTTACATACCAAATTCATCTACAAAAAAAGTTGACTTTGGGGTGAGTTACACTTTATGCATAACTTTATGCAAAATAAAAAAGTTAGGAATCAGTGGTTTCCTCTTGGAATACTTTTTAAAGGAAGTAATTGCACATAAAATGTGACCTTTTCATCTTAAAATGTGGGAACTTTCATTAAAACCTGCTAGAAAATCTGAAGTACTGAAGTCTCTTACTTTTTCGTGTGGGCTGTTTGGACGAGAAAAAAGCCAGCAAGACAAAGTGCGTTTTCATCCTCGCCCAGAATTTATGTAATTATTGGAAGGTTACTAACACTAGCCCAATTAGCTAAATGTTAATGTTGGTAGTGCTAGACTTTGAATGCTCATTCAAACAAGTCTAATTATCATTCTTAAACTTGCAAGGAAAAAAAAATTCATAAATAAAATCCACAGCAAGAAGCTGCTTTCAAAAATCATCTAATTAATAAACATTTTTATGAGTTAATATAAAAGAAAAAACACCATAACCTCAGTGAAATATGGTGGTTAAAGCATAAAATCTAGAGATCCTTCTCTTGTACAGCAACAAGAAAGCTGGTAGAAGTGGAACTGAAGTGGATTGAGCTTAAAACAGAACATTTCTTAAAAAAAAATGTAAAAAATTGAAAACCCATATAGAGTAGCAGGTGTGTAACTATCCAGCCAGTTGTTAATATATAGGCTAAAATTTCAATAAAGTTATTCTAAAACAAAAAAATGCAATTAAAGTGCTTCATTGAAAAAAAGCTATAAATTTTTTTTACTGCAGCTAAATCCTAAAAGGTAATTTGTTAGGTTTAAGCTTTTCAGAAAAAAAGAGCTCAACCTTTAAACACTTCATGTATTTTTCTTTCTTTTTTGTTTAAAATTTTCTTACTCATTCAACACAATAGTACAATACTAAAAAAAAGCATTTTAAATGTATAAAAACTTCAGATTTTTAAATGATTAAAATGAGGCTGACTGGGTTAAATATAGAATAGCAGCATTAAAAAAAAACCTTTATTCAATCAAAAGAGCACTCATATATAAAGTAATCGTGAGCCTACCTGAAAGCTCCCGGTCTCTGTGTGGGTTTTTTGTATCCGGACAGGCTGGCTCCTCTGTCAGCTCTCCACCGGACACCGTCCTCCTGCGGAGCTGTAGCCTCTCTGGGAGGCAGCATCCAGCTGTTTGACCTCCTGTCGGGCAGCAGCTTTGCAGCAGTGGTGCGTCTCTGGGTGGGTGCATAATAGAAGCGCTTGTGTGTGGGTGTGTGTGTGTGTTTGCACTCAGATGGATCTAAACTCTGCCTTTCTATAGCTGTATTTTCATTATGAATGCTTTATTTGTAAGAAAAAAAACATCCTGGTGAGTAAAAAGACCCTTTTAATACATTACTTTCCACTTTTGTCAATTTGACCAATTTTTTTTGGTGAGGTTATACCCATTAAAGAACTGAAACAATTGATCATTAAGGTTAAACCGCTGAATGTGTGTTTTTCATGATATTGTCCACAGTGGCAGGCAGTGCTTCTGGTACCTAGGACTTCAAAAGGGCACCCCTCAACTTGACCCTCTTCTTAACCCCTTGACCTCCGGGTGCTCCGGCTTACCCATAAAAGCTCTTTAAACTCAAAATGTCATTGATAATATAAGCCGGGGAAGGTAAGACAAGGCAAGTTAAGGTAAGGCAAGTCCATTAATATAGCACATTTTGGTAGTCAGAAAGTTAAGAAAGGAAAAAAAAGTAGATTAATTAAAAAAGAAGATATGATAATGGAATAAAGTTGGATGAATAATGTTTAGGTAGCACAGTCAATAGCCACACCAAAATAAATTGCTTTTTTTATTAAAATTTTAAGCAATTTATGGTTTCAGCACTTTTTGTTTTGGAGCATAAGAGCTAAAAGCCGTTTCTCCACTTTCTTATTGGAAGCCTGATCGGTGATCCAGCATTCTGGATCAGCTTTGGCTGTCTGATCCACTTCACAGCTGTCTCTATCAATCCTACTAAAGACAAACAGAATAGGAATAATTTTATCAGGGTCCTGTTGAGTCTTTTAATCCTGCAGATGTTCTCTAAGTGACAGAATGTCTTTATGCGCCACTGGAGGTCCAGGTCCATCACAACACCCTGATTGGTTATTACATGAATTACATTAACATGAGTGCTAACTTTTAAATGGTTTTCTTTTGTTCCAAAACTATTATTTCAATTTTCTTTTGATTTAGCTGAAGAAAATGTAGTTTAATCCATGTATTGATTTTTTTCCTGGAATGAGGAAACGATGAGCTGGAATGTGTTCATAGTCCCCTCCTGACAGTGATTTTCCGAAAGTTTCCTAGGAGACATAAATGCAAAACTGCAAGCAATTCCTACATCAAATATCACTGAAACCAAAGACATGTGTCTGTTATGGACAAAGAACACAGGTGCATTTTATTGATTGATTTTGAATGCACAGAGATACTTTGATGAGATCCTGCGGCCAATTGTTGTGCCATACATCCAAGAACATGTCCTCATGTTGCAGCAGGATAATGCAGAATCACATGTTGCAAGCATCTGTACACAATTCTTGGCATCTGAAAACATCCCATGTCTTTCATGGCTGGCATATCGACCAGACATGAACCCTGTTGTGCATGTTTGGGATGCTCTGGATCAACGTTCCTGCCAAAATCCAACAAATTCGAACAGCCATTGAAGAGGAGTGGACCAACATTCCACAGGCCACAATTGAAAACCTGATCAACTCTATGCGAAAGAGATGTGTTGCACTGTGTGAGGCAATTGGTGATACTGACTAGGCCTCAGACCTTAAATATGAAGGCATAAATATTTTGTTGTTTTTCTATTAACTTACACATTATCATTTGTGATACAGAAAAGCTCATAATAACTTTAAAAATTATATCTTTTATTATGTTTTTCATCCATTAAGGTCACCATTTTTTTCACAGGTGGAATGCCGGGCTGATGACACAATTAGGTCCTACTGGACTGGACCCTAATAAGTAAACACAGCAAGGCTAATATGACAAGAGTTATATTTTTTATCGTGTCAAGTGTTACATAGGTGAGTATTTGTGAAAACAGCCTGCAAAGAGCAACAATACACACCTAAAAACATAAAATAATGTATCACCAAATAATCTAATTCTAGGGTCAAAAGTTAGGCTGTTGCTTTATTGTGAAAGGAGTGACTGAAATGTATCTTTCTGTCTACACCACTGGCTTTGTTCACAGTTTTTTCGATAATTTTAACCTTTAGATTTAATGCT